ATAGATAGATAGATAGATAGATAGATAGATAGATAGATAGATAGATACGGGAAATTTTGGTAAAACACTCACCAACTTTTGATTTCCCCCCCTTTTCACGTGTGGGTATGTGGCTAAGTGGTAATAATGTTTTTATTAAAACTGAATCAGAATTCAAAGAACAGTGTTGTTTCCTGGTGGATATAACTGCTTGCCCGAAAGAGGCTAATGCGTATGCAGCAAATCCTCCATTGAAATGACCTTGGATTAGCAAATATGGACACTTGGCTTGTTAACAAATATCGCTTCCTCTTACTACTCTGTTAAACAGAGGATTTACAGCAACCCCAGGCGTTTTGCAAGTTTAGTTAGGGAATCAAAGATTCTGGTGCCAGACTTGGCAACCGGTTATGTAAAGTTGGAACAGAACGAATGTCCCACTGAGACGATCAGGGAGTGTGTTTTGATTGCGCACTCTTCTCTTTTCTGCCCCAACAACTCCATTTTATGCCAAAAACTGTCCATGCCACTCCACCAACCCCTGGCTTACTGGGCCCAGTGGTTTTCAGTGGCATCTCTGCTCTGTGAAATGCCCTTTGGTTTTTCCTTCCCACATTGCCAGAAAAGGGTTTTAGCTAAAGGTATTGCCTGGCCTCGGGGCAAAACCAATTCTCTGCTGTTATCTGACAGATTTGAATAATAATAATAACTGCTTTGTTTTTTTTGAGCTTGTTAATGGTATTGCCTGTCTGAACAAGAAACCTGAAGGACAGCATTAAGAGAGTTCAGCCTGTCCCAAATGTCTTTTTTCCCAGCTCTTCCATGGAGGGAGGAGGAGGAGGAGGAGGAGGAGGAGGAGGAGGAGGAGGAGGAGGAGGAGGAGGAGGAGAAAAAAGAAGCTAATTGTTAAGGCTAGTTTTATACCCTCTGTTGGACCCCACCTTAAGTGTTTCCTGTCCTGTGCAAGAAATGCATCCCATCGGCTGTCAGACTCCCAGGGGGTGGGGGTCTTAGCTAACTTTGTAGGCTTTGTCTGGACCACGTGGCTTCACCTGAGTGCTGACTGATGCAATCTCAGGTGAGTAGAGGGCTTTGTTATGTAGAATACTCTGGCCCAGGCCTTAATGGCCTGCCCATTAACAAAGGTGGGGGTGAGTTTCTGCTTCCGAGTTTCTACTTCTCTTTTTAGGGGAAATATTCTGCCTTTTTTAGTATATCCTAAAATATTTCATTTTCCTAGGGGAGGGGTGCGTTTTATCTTCTAACACAATGTTGAAACTGCTGTTGAAAGAGAAAATCAGGGCAAGAGAGGCTCTTGATTTGGCGCTGGCTTTTCCACCTTCCCGAAGGTTGTAACCTCAGCTTGGCCGGGAGAGCCTTTTGCACCAACTCCTATCCTCTCCTGTTCCTGGAATCTTTCACAACACTTTTTGGGGTGGAGGAAAAAATTAAAAAAAAGAAGTAGGCGCTATTTTAAGAATTGGATGTTCTCTTGGCTTGCCTGTAATTGCTACTAGAAGAAAATGAAAGTGGAGTTGGCAGCCACAGGGGAGGGGTTTGCCCTAAGCCCCTTACTTGTTAAATGGGGGAAATTTAACTGATGGCTGGTTAGGGTTTTTAAGCCTTTGAGTGTTCTCCTCCCCTTTCCATCAGAGGTGGGGAGGACTGATGACCTCTGGAGTTCCACATATGGATAAGTACTGCCAGCCTCTTGCAATTCACTCCCCTCCAAGTGATTCATTTTGCAATATAAAGCAAAAAAACAAAACAAGATTCATTGCAGGGATTCCCTGCAGCACTTTAAATTCATTCACAAATCAAGGATGGGTAACCTCACTGGATACAGCCAATTTATGAAAGATTACTTTAAGTTAGCATTTGGCATTTGTCTTCAAGATGAACTCGGCTCCTGGCTTTTCATTGCCTTCTTCTAGAACTTCTTCCAAATCCCCAGTTTAGTTTACATTGTCAGATTTCCTGAGGGTCTCAAATCCAAACAAGATCAGGTTTCCATGGCTGACTGAAGATGTCTTTGCAAATGCTATGTAGAATAAAAGACCAATGAGTAGACTGATGCTTTGGAGGATTGGGAGATGGAGAGATCAGGGGATTCCCCATAAATACTCTGAATTTCTATTCACTTTTGGAAAATGTTCGATTTAGCTGCTTGAATATGCATACTAAAGGCCTTCAAAACAGCAAGCTTAATTTGTCACCTAGTGAGTATTAACTTTTTTTCGGATTTAATTTTTTTTAAACATAGCCTCAAAAATTTATACTAATATGCAATAAAAGAAAGCAGGGAAGAAAAGTGTCTTGATTTAAGAAAGTCTTAAACAGATTGGGAGACCAGACAGATTTGGAATATTGGTTATTTTTGCTGCAAGACCTGAAAAGCAAGTATATAATTAAATAATATATTCGTGGGAAACCACTGAACCGGAATTAAATCCATATTAGGACCTGAGGCTTGATGAAGGCTGCAGATGGACACTAGAGGGAACCAAAGGACCAGACAGGAAAGAGTTAAAATGGCTAAGACAGCTATAACTTTTTCTTATCTTAAAAGTTTTTTTTTTTACATAGGCTGAAACATTAATGACTAAGGTCTCAGAAAATATTTCACTGGATAAACTTTTAGACAATGACATTAAAAAAGAAAACTTTACCTGAATATAGACATGATAACATTTTGAAGGCATGAAAGATAACAAAATTGAGATTACCAAAATGGGAATACAAAAGATAAATCAAGAAAAAGGACCAGGACATTGAACAGCTACAACAAGAAATGATGCCTCTTTTGGAAATGGGTGAACTTAAAAGAGTGAAACGATATATGTTGACTTCTGCTTGGTGTGGTAAAAGTTAAAAGCCACTTTATTATTGTTGTTGTCCTTTTCTTTTTTTCTTTTAGTTTGTATTTGTGTTTACTGTGTTTCTTAAAAAATAAAATAAAATTATGTAATACACAAAGACACAAATATACCTACATCAAATCCAAACAAGATCAGCCACATGCTAATGGAATTGGAGGAAACATGAAAAAACAGTTATCATTTTATTTAAAACCTGAAAAGGTTGTTCCAGCAAATCGTGCAGTAAAAATATTTTTTAAAAGAACTTTCTTATCTTAGACTGGAATAGTTTTTAAAATTGTTCTGATCTGCCTCCTGCTCCAGTGTACTCCAGTCTAATAAAACAGTGTTTGATCTTTTTATATATACCAGCTTCCATTTTAATTTTATGACCTCGTGGAAGGGTTTTTATTTTATTTTACTTCTGCATTTGCAACCACAAATGTCCACATTTGGGCAGATTTCAAGGAGATTGTAGCTTGGTTTGGTTATTCATGCTGGTTTTCTCAAAGAGTTGCAATGTATCTGTGTTAATTAGGAAAAGAAGTGGGCCATTTTTTCCCCCCCAATCTCCCTTTTTTCTTTTTATTCCTTGTCCTTGGGATGGAAGACCACCAGGAAATCCCAGACCGCAGGCTAGCCTGAAAGCTTGATCTGCAGGAATCTTTCCCCTCCTTTTGACCTTAGAGATGTCTTTGTGTTGGGAAGAGAGGCTGAGTCAGAAGTCAAAGTTTAGTGTTAACCAGACTGGCCGGGGGGAGAGTTTTCAGGATGTTGCCTATGGTCCCTTTATATATAGAAAGGCTGACAGTTCTGATTTCACCACATGGAGGCCAAACCTCCCTGGGTGATGCCCAGACATGAGTGCCATGCCTGAAATTGTGAAAAGCTGCTAAGGGCCAGAGTTGCCTCCTTGATCAGGCTCAGCCTCTTATCACTAAACGTCAGCTTCGTTCTGCCTGGTTGCTTGGCAGGAATTCCTTCCTGCTTTAGGCAAGTGGCTTTTTTTTCTGTACAGGCCTGTGCAGATTTGCCACTTGATTCAGACGGGGGGAAAAAAGTAGAAAGAGACCTAGATGCTGTGCTGTCTTCTGCCGACTTCCTTTCCACACTGTCTCCAAGCTAAAAATGTTTCCTTTCCTTTCCACAAGTGCTTAGAGAGGCTTCTAAAAGAGGGTGTAAGAAGGCCTCTCTTGGCTCATTCAGGGGATTAAATTACTCCCGTGTCTCGAAGAAAAAGGGGACAAGCTATTCTCCAAGGCATCTGAAGGGCAGGACAAGAAGTGAATGCATGGAAGATGATTAAAGAGAGACCCAACTTCGAACTGCTGGTGACCTTCTACTGCTGCACCAGAGAGAGTATCTGAATTGACTCCACCTCTGTATGGTTTGCCAATTTGCACCGGGGCAGATAGGACGGTGCTCCAGAGGGTTAATGTCATTGCCCAGAGGATTATTGGTTGCCCTCTCCCCTCTTTGGAAGAGCTTTATAGCTCCCGCTGCCTTAAGAAAGTTCAAAACATTCTCAAAGATCCATCTCATCCTGGGAACCCTTTTTTTTTTTGTGGAATTATTACCATCTGGCAGATGGTACAGAATAATAAAAACAAGGACAAAGAGGCTGAAAAATAGCTTCTATCCCAGGGCATAATTTGAGGATGTTCTTGTAGCTGGTGCACTCCCTGGCAAGGGGCATCATTAAGAACAGGACATTTCCTAACAGTCATGAACTGATGCTTAACTTATCTCAAAGCATGTGGTTTATTTCTTGATTATTTCCCCCCTCCTTCCTTCTAGCATTTTTTTGCCAGAGCCTCCACCCATGTGTTCCTTGGGAAGGGGGCATTACTCCTTTTTTCTTCCTGGAATCCGAGACTTGGCTCGCTTGCTTGATCTTGGTGTACGGGGCTCGTTTTGAGGGTCTTGCAATGGAACGATGCCGATATTCAGACGCCAGCTGTTCATTTGTGGGCTCCTGTGTCCCCTTTTACCTAGGTTTTGTTAGGTGTTAATCATCCAGTGGAAAGACTTGATGTTTCCTTTCTTTTCTTTTTTTCCCCCTCCCTTTCTTGTCTCCCAGGGTGGTAAAGGAAGAGATCTCGGATGACAACGCAAAACTCCCATGTTTCAATGGACGTGTCGTCTCCTGGGTACGTGGAGTCGAATTCTGCCAGTTCATTGACGCGGGCAAAAGATAACGGTTTGTGGGGAGAGAGGTCTTTGCAAAGTGGGACCCCTCACTTGCCAAGTCTTGCGTGCATCTCATATGTATCTTTAGAAGAAGAAGAAGAAAACCCATGGGTGCCCACGAGAGGTTGCAAGAATTAGCTGTTCCCCCAGCCACAGTTCCGAGGTTCAAGTATCTCATGGGTTTTTTTGGTTTTTTTTTTAGTTCCTTTTAGTGTGATTATGAATTCTTCCATTCCTGTTCTTGTGTAGCCTCATTTGCACGGTTGTGTCTGCAGCCCGTTCCGAATTCATCGCTAATTGCCTTCAGTGGTTTGCGATTTTGATCCCTTCTTTTGAAAGACGCTTCCATTTTTCGGCTGAAAAACCATGTGTCGGACGCCCTGCTGAGGTTGACTTTGTTTGCCAAAACGCCACTCGTCTGTCTCGGGGTGGACACAGGTTGCGCACAGTGGGTTGGCCATTGTAGGCAATTTTCTGTTTCATCGGCTGCAATAACGGGATGTCATTTTTTTTCCCCCCCCCCCCCCCCCCCCGCCTTGGGGGGGGGTTCCCCCCCCCCCCCCCCCCGCCAGACTCGGTGGTATGATTCTCCTTTTTTTTTGTACATGGTTCTTTCCCAGGTCTGCCACTAATTCAGACAAACGGATAAAATGTGTTCAGCCTTAGATTGTTCTGGAAAAAAAAAATACAGCCAGGCAGAGGGATGGGGAGAAAAACAGTCGGCAAGCAATCCATCATGGAGTAACAATGGCTTTCTCTGTATGGAAGGAAACAGGTACTTTAGCACGATGGCCTGTTCTATAGAGAATTGTCCCTTAGAGCTGATCTTGCCTTCTACAGACTTCTTGGTCAGCCCCAAACCTAGATTTAAGGTTCCTGGTAAGCCCCAATCCTAAATCTAAATCTAGATTAAGTCTAGGTGGTTATGTGTTGGAAAAATAAAACCACACGCTCTTCTTTATATGATTAAAATCCATATTGTGTTTTATATGGTTTGGCTTTGCCCTTTTTAACATGTCCAGAATCCCTTCAGTGAACAAAGTTTCCTAATGCCTTAGCTTTAAATTCTCAATTTGTCCAGTAAAGTATTAAGCCTTGGGTTTGTTTGTCCCTTTAGAAATTAGAATTGGCAGGTCTTCAGATCTTTTAAAAGACAGTACCTACCCACACTGCAGCACATTTTTAGAACAACAAAAACCAGGTGTTTTTTTTTTTTTAAGGGCATGTGTAAATCTTGGCTCGCTAACGTGAACTGCTCCAATCTATGTATTTTTCCCTCCAGTCTTAGAATATTTTTTCTCTCTCCGCGCTCATTTGTCTTGTTAGTCTTTTAATAAAGACGTCATTCACGCCCATTTGAAAAAAAAACAAAAAACCACCTACACTGAATTCTCACTCCCTCTTGGGGAAGCATTTTCCTGTTAGTAACCTAACAGGGAAGGGAAAAAAAAAATACACATGTAACATTTGCATTTTTCTTTGATTTCCGCCCCCCCCTCCTCCTCCTTTTAATTCACGCAAAACTTTTCATCAGCAAAAATGATGCCAGGGGGTAGATGGTCCCCTGGTATTTTCCCCCTGCCATTCTGTCAATCTACCTCTCTGGCATTTCTTCCCGATGAACATTTCCCCCCGCAGGTCAGCTCAGGGAATACCAATTTTGTGCCTTCTGTCAACTGGCTGGTTTTTGTCTTTTAGTATTCTTTCAAGCATTTCCTCAGGGGTTAGTCTTTCGAAATTGGGGGAGAGGCGGGCTTCTCTGAGACGAGAAGCGCAACACCCAGCTATTTTGGGCTGAACCTCATTACGGTAGGAGCATGAGGGCGGGGGAAAGACTTGCTTTGGGAAGTAAATTTGTTAGTGTAAGACCTCTCTCAGATTGGAAGATAAACAGACTCAGGAGTAGCTTTGAATACAGTCCTGTTTTTTCGTACCTAGAGTAGGGGTGTCAAACTCGATTTCATTGAGTGCCAGATCACAATTGTGGGTTGCCCTCTGGGGGGGTCAGGAGGGGCGTGGCATGGCCAGGGTGATCATAGATGACCGGGCGTGGTCCGGGGTATGGTCAGCTTTATTTTATGTATTTATTTTGTCAAGCAAAAATTAGATAACAGGAATAAGTATAAACATCGTTATGAATACATGAAATGCATACGAATAAAAGGAAACAATAGGACAGGGACGGTAGGCACGTTGGTGCGCTTATGCACGCCCCCTACAGACCTCTTAGGAAAGGGGTGAGGTCAATAGTAGACAGTCTAAGGTTAAAGTTTTTGGGGTTTGGGGAAGAAACCACAGAGCCAGGTAGTGCATTCCAGACATTCCAGTCGTATTTCCTGCAATCAAGTTTGGTGCGGTTTACCTTGAGTTTGTGTCTATTGTGTGCTCTTGTATGGTTGTGCTTGAAGCTGAAGTATTCATTGACAAGTAGGACATTGCAGTAGATGATAATATGTACTACACTTAGATTGGACCGAAGGCGGCGTAGTTCTAAGTCACTTGACATCACTCACACACATACACACAAACACACACATGTGAAGGGCCAGAGATGCTGGTGTGGGTGATCCATGCCGGGAAGGGGTGGGCCGGGCAGGAAGGATCCAGCCATATCGCGAGGCAGATCTGGCTCACAGATTTTGAGTTTGACACCCCTGGCCTAGAGGGATAAAGTAGCCAACTTTTCATTCGTTTGATTGTGTGTTTGCATTTCACATTTCTGAACTCCCCCTCTTCCTCAAAGAAGAAGCCTTCTGTTGGCTTCTCTTTGCATCACCTGCAGTTAAACATTTTGGATTTCCCTAAGTAGAATTATTTAGTATCAGGGTCAGATGAGCGATACTCTTTTTTTTTCTGGCCTAGTAAGCTACTCAAGGAAGAGACAGGTGGTTCTTTTAAGAAGAAGATGGTTAACAAGGCGCTCCTTTTCACCACATGATGGAGGGAAGGTTATACAGATTAATAGAATTGGAAGGCACCTTGTAGGTCATCTAGTCCAACCCCCTGCCCAAGCAGGAGACCCGATACCATTTCTGACAAATGGCAGTCCAATCTCCTTTTGAAAGTCTCAGGTGATGAAGCTCCCACAACTTCCGATGGCAACTTCTGTTCCATGGGTTGATCGTTCTCACTGTCAGAAAGTTTCTCCTCCTTTCCAGGTTGAATCTCTCCTTGTTCAGTTTCCATACATTATTCCTTGTCTGGCCTTCGGGTGCTTTAGAAAATAGCTTGACTCCTTTCTCCTCTCTGGGGCAGCCCCTCAAATATTGGAAGATGCTCTCCTGTCTCCCCTGGTCCTTCTCTTCCCAAGACTAGCCAGGCCCAGTTCCTGCAACCATTCTTCGGATGTTATTTAGCCTCCAGTCCCCTAATCATCCTGGTTGCTCTTCTCTGCACTCTTTTTTATAGTGTGGTGACCAAAACTGGATGCAGGACTCTAGGTGTGGTCTTACTAAGGGTTTATAGAGTGGTATTAGTACCTCCCTTAATCTTGATTGTATCCCCCTGTTAATGCAACTTAGGATTGCATTGCCTGGCATATCCTCGTCCTGACACCCTCATTTAATTCCCCTCCTTGTCTTGCAGCTGGTCCTGGCCGAGAGCTCCCATTCGGACGGCGGATCACAGTGCGCAGAAAGCCACACCGATCTTCCTCCTCCCCTCGAGCGAACCGGAGGCATCGGTGACTCTCGCCCCCCTTCCTTTCAGTAGGTTTCGATTTAAACATTTCAGCCCAACCTTCGTTCTGCTGCACACGATTTTAACAGGGGCATATTTTCCAGAATTGTTTTAAAAAGGAAAAATGGAGGGGGGGGGAAATCTGCAGAAGGGATTGTTCTCTCCACTTCCAGCAGTTGGAATAGCCGCTGGTCAGGGAAGATGGGAAGTGTAATCCATCAAAAGCTGGAAAACCTCTGTTGTAGTTCGCCGGCAGCCTGCGCAGACGGCAGCGGTGTCGGACAGTGGGGAAGAACAGGGACCACTCCGGGAGTCTGGGGAGGACTCAGATAAGGGTCCTGCATCCGATGGAGAGATGGGGCCAGGACCATCTGGTGCTGCCTTTAGAGCCTTCGGAGTCTGGCAGCAGCGAGGCAGAGGAACCAGGGGAGCCTGTTCCCAGTGTGCGTATGCGCAGAGCTGCTAGAAGGCGAGAGCAGCTGAAGCAGAAGGGGCGACTCGGGAGTAAGGCTGGGTGGTGATTGCCCCTCCCATAAGGGATGAAAGTCAGACCTCAATGACGAAACCTTTGCAGGAAGCAAAGCAGTTCAATTAGATTCTGAGCCCTCCTTGAATCTCTGCATATTTTGGTGGGTTTTTTCTGGTACTGTTATAATTCATTGGATACTTCTGCTTTTGGCAACATTCCACAGCACTGAAAGGTATGTGCTTATATTGGGGAACTGTTTAAGATTAGTCCTGGCTGTGAGTGAAAGTCATTCCCAGCGTTGCATTAAAATAGATTTTGCTTTTAAAACAAGTTTGTGTTTAATTATGTTTGACGACGCCTGGGTCAGAAGAGCCTCAAGTTGTCCACTCTTTGCTCTTCTCCCAGAGAGGCTAGGATTGCTCTGTGCAAAGAGTAATTCCCCCCCCCCCCCCCCCAGATAAGAATGTTTTCTACTCAGGTGCTAGTTTGACTGCCTTGGTGAGAGGAGGAGAAGGCGTCGCATGTCATCAGATAAGGAGAAGCGAGCAGGAATTATCTTTAATCACAGGCGTCGCATAACAATCAGACGCGGGTTTTAGAGTGTCATATCCCCTGTGGTGCAAGTTGGGTGTCCCTCTTAGGAAACTCAGGTTTTGAAAAACGCTGGCACCTTGTTCTGACCCAGGCTTCGTCAAACTGAATAAAACACAAAATGAATTTAAAAGTAAAACCTTTTTTCATTAGACACAGATCCTCCAGGTAAGAATATGCTTCTCAGTGCTGTGGCATGCTGCCAAGAAACAGAAGTCCAATTAAGGCTCACATAAACCAACCCAAGAACCTAGAAAAAAACGACCAGTGGCACTTTTTTCAGTGCCATTGTACTTCGAATGTCACTAAACGGATGGTTGTAGGTAAAGGACTACCTGTACTGTAGCAGGCCAACATCTGGAGGGTCACACAGGTTTCTTGTTCCTATTTCAAGCACAAAGCAGTTTCTAAAAAGACAAACAATTTGGCCCATACCCAGTTTAAAGAGTGGGATATCCTAACCAAGGGTGAACCAGAATGTTAAAAATAATGGTGGATTTAAGTGTCGTACTCCTTGTTTTGTTATTATAAAACATTAGTATTATTATAAAGCACTTAAAACATTAGTATTATTATAAAGCACTTAAAGCTGATAAAATCAGGAATCCTGCATCCAGGACAATCTCTTTACTTTTTTTTTTTGTTTGCGTCCTGGGAATGGGTCACACCCTGTGTAGCATTTCCTCCCAGAACAGTTAGAGAGAGATTGATTGCTTTTCAGCCAGCCTGCTTCCTTCTTTGGCAGTGATGTTTCTGCCCTCTCCTGGCTGTTCTGAGAAAATGGTTTTTTTAGTTTCTCATAACACACACGCGCGCGCATACACACATACACATGAATGACTCGCTTTTTTGAGCCTATCCACCCTGTTCACCAGCACACAGTGCTGAATGCACTGTGTGAACCCAGCCCGAATTCTAGCAGTTAAAAAGACTCAAGGAAATAAAATTTCTCCGCTCTCCAAATCTATCCAGCGAATTAACAGCTTCCTCTCCATTGATCAGACCTCACAGACTTTGGAATTAAATGAGCAGGTGAAAAATAACAAAAAATTGGGCCTTGTATGCTAACAAAATAGAAACAAACTGCAAAGCTGCTTTTTTTTAAAAAAATGATACAACATATTCTAAAAGCACAGTTAAAGTCAGGAGAATATATATCCTATAAAGCTGTAATATTGTATTCACTTCCAATTAAGCCAGGGATTAACTGTTCTTAAAATAAATACTTTCCCATTTTATGTCATTGTTTCTTTTCCTTGAGTGTTTGTCTTCATATAGTCTTCTTGATACATACCTGGCCTTGAAGCATGTCCACATTTATCATGGGTTTAATAGAGGAAGATTTATTCATCAGAAGGAATTGTAGTGTTTTTTTCAAACTAACACATTGTATTAAAAATCATAAGGCTTTGGTGAGGTTATAATAATGAAGACTTATTAAAGGGTTCCATATAAATCAAGGTTCTTCAAACTTGACAGCTTGAAGACTTGTGGACTTCAACTCCCAGAATTCCTGAGGTAACATGGACTGGAGGAGGAATTCTGGGAGTTGAAGTCCACAAGTCTTCAAGTTGTCAAGTTTGAAGACCCTGGTATAAATGATAGAGCTCCTGGCTTAGCATGTGCACCTCATTTGATGCCATTTCTTCTTCTTCCCCAGCCCAAATGCCTCAAGCAGCCGAGATGGGCTGGACAACGAAACAGGAACCGAGTCAGTTGTCAGCCACCGGCGAGATCGTCACCGGCGGAGGAACCGAGAAGGCCACGAAGATGGTAAGTTGGCTCTTCTTTCCCTCTGATGCCTTGGATTGATTGGCCTGCGTTTCTGAGGCTAGCCGGGAGCCTAAAACCCATTGTTAGGAGGGTTTTCAGAGAAAAAATCAGATGTGAACACAGAAAAGCTTTTAAGGTGCCCGTTGCAAAGGTCTGGGGCAGCTCAGGTACCTCGTAGTCTATGATTGCTGGTTTGCCTGTATTGCTCTGAGTGTGTCACTCTTTGCTTGCCTTTTGTGAGAATGCAGGCTGGGTCAGAAGCCAGTCAGGAAAACAGCCCTCTTCTGCATGATGCCCTCTCTAGTTGTCTTCATGTCCCCTTCACCCTTTGGAGGGAGCCATGCCGCCTGTGAAGCAGCAGCCAAGAGCTCCCTTCAGTAATGCCAGCCTTGGTGTTGGGCACGCAGATCCAAAACCCAAGCCTGCAGGAGGGGACGAATCCTCCTTTGCTGAGGAATAATTGCACTGACAGGGAGCGGGGGGGTATGGAAACAAGCCAGCGATGGGGCTGTATTTTTCCTTATGTGCCAAAATCTGCTTTGATCCCCGTTTGGGGTCTAATTAAGGGAGCTTCTGTCTGTGAGTTTGGGGGTTTTATTTTATTTTAATGGGAAGCAATATGCCTGCTGTCACAGCAGGAGCAAGGGACGAGTCCCTCACCCTGCCACGCAAGGTTGAGACAATTGACCAGTTCCGATTAAAAGGGAAAAGCAGAAGACTTAATTGGAAGTTTAGGGGGGTCTGTTTGGGGGTTCTCATTAGGAACTGAAGCTTCTTTGTGGCTCCCAACCCCGCCTCTTCTGTTTCCTAAAGAGAAGCACGAAAGGGAAAAGGCTCCAATTAGAGGTAATTAAGAAATGGGGGTTTGGGACACAGATGGGGGGGGGTCAAATGTCACCCTCATCATTTCACCGCTTGTTCTCTCCCCACTCCCATTTTTCCACGGGGGTGGATTTGACTGTCTGAACCCAGCAAAATCCATGTTGGTGTTGTAGTTCGCCAGCAGCAGGTGCGGACAGCTGAGGTCTCTGATAGCGAGGACTTGAACGAGGGGCCTGCGTGTGATGCAGGAATGGGGCCGGGACTATCAGAGAGTGGGGGGCTGCCTTCGGAGCTTGTGAAGGCTGGCAGCAGTGATGAAGAGGACCCCGAGGAGCCTGTGCCCAGTGTGTGTGCACGCAGGGCTGCTCGAAGGAAAGAGCAGCTGAAGCAGCAAGGGCGACTCAGGAGTAAGGCTGGAAGGTGATAGCCCCTCCCATAAGGGATAAAAACCAGCCCTCGGGGATGTGTTCTTTGCAGGAAGCAAAGAAGTTCTTTAGACTCAGGGCCCTCGTTAAAGCCCTGCTTACTCCGGTTTGTTTTTTGAAACTTCTGTCGGTGGATATTTAATCAGTAATTAGCCTTCTGTTCTTGGCAGCCTTTTTGCAACCTTGAAAGGGCTTGCTTTTGATATCGGACAATTGGGTTGACATGTCTCTTGGCTGGGAATGCACTGAATTCCCAGTGCCGCATTTAAAAAGGTTTGCTTTTATACACAATTTGTGACTGTTTAATTTGAACAAGGCTTGGGTCAGAACAGTTGAGCAGAGGGAATCAGCAGATGGCTGCTTGCAACAAATAATGAGGCATGACTGGCTTGGGTTTTTGTGTGTGTATGTGTGTGTGTGTGTGTGTGTGTGTGTGTGGTCTGTTTCATATGTGTTGTATTCAAACCCTCCCCTGGCATCTCTCTGACTAGACTGTGCATTCAATTTGATGGGAAAGAAAATTGCTTTCCAGATTCCTTTTTCCCAAAGATGAAGACATCTTTTAATTATATTTTCTCGGCCTGGGTCTAGCAGTACGGCTTGCATTTATTTATCAATGAAAGGTAGTGTGTGGGTGTGTGTGAGAATGTGTGAGAAACACAGACAGAGCAGGAGAAGGACACAGATCTTTGGATAGGACAGATAATTCATTCCCTCCTTTTCCTGCCCAAAGATGCAGGCCTGCATCTTCCTGTTTCTTTCCAGATAATTCTAAGCTTTTCCCCTCCCAATTGAGCCTCCATTCCCTCAGCTCCCCCTATCCTCTATCCCTCGATAATCTTCCCCTATGATTTCTTTATCTTGCTGTGGTTCTCCCCATTGCATTTTTCCGCAGACCCCGGCGCTCAAAATGCTTTACGGCAGGGAGCGAGGTGCTCTGATTCAGGGTCTAGGAGCCCTAATCACCTCAGCTAATGGTCAAAGGCTGGAGGAGGGGGACTTGCCCACTTATTTCTTTTTTTAAAAAACTCAGGTTTCCTCAACGTTTCTTTCTAAGCCGCTTAATAAACGCTGAAGGCCAGCAGGAGGACAAGGGCAAGTCTCTTATCACAGCCTCCGCCGTCCTATTTCTGGAATGGCCACAGGGGACACAAATCCAGGCAGTAACATGTGGCTCGGATAATGTGCATTTGTGTCATTCATGTTGTCAGGCTCCAGATGTAGCTGAAGGGGGATTTCAAGGCTAGCTGGTGACTAGCAAGAGATGTTAAGAGTTGGGGAGGAGCAAACTTTGGAAGGATGAGTCCTGCTAGGTTATTCTGGCTTTAAAAAGGTCTCTGGTTGCCTACATTTATTTTCTTTCTTTCTTTCTTTCTTTCTTTCTTTCTTTCTTTCTTTCTTT